ACACACATAGGTAGGATTGCATATTTCCATGTTCTAGCGGAAGATTCATTCGATTTTTTTTTAATTTTTTTTTTCGTTGATTGATTGATTGATTGGTGGGGACGGGGTCGCCCCCCCATCCCCAACAGGCCCACACACACACACACACACGCAATATTGGATATTTCCATGTTCTTGCGGAAGATTTATTCGATTTCGCTTTTTTCTTTTTGTTGATTGATTGATTGATTGATTGATTGAGTGGTGGGGGAGGGACGCCCCACCCCCCCTACTTCCTGCTTTCCTAGGACATGTATGCTAGTTAGTTGCTTTGCTTTCCTAGGACATGTATGCTAGTTAGTTGCTTCTGCTTTTACTTAGGCTGTTAGCTGTGACATTGCTGTTTTGTGACATTTTCTAGCCTAGGTTGCATCGCATGGACTCAGCATGGAGCTTGCTCCGCATCCTAGACTACTCGGGTTTTTCATTTTCTTTGGTAGAGTTCCGCTTCTTGACGGAAGCGTGTTTGTATCTAGGCGATCCATCACAGGCCGAGGATCGTGTAGCGGACCTCTGGTTGGGTGGCCTGTGAGACCAGCCCCTTGGCCTGTTCTCACAGGCCTGTGTTCTATTCGGGGGCAGTCCAGTCCAGGCCGGTGCCTGTCGGTACCAGCCAGTCCAGTTCAGTCCCGTCAGTCTGCTGGGGTATACCCCAACAGTTGTCTGTTTTCAGCCTCATTCTTCAGTTGCACATTTTGGAGTACGTGCGTTGGAGTCTGCGTGGGGAGCTGCACTGTACACCTTGCTCCCCCCTTCTTCCTCCATCTCCATCTCTGTCACTAGCGGAGCACCACACCTGGTGGGTCCGCTACAGGGGGTGTACCGAGGGGTGACCGTCCGAGTTTGATGACCCTATCTCATTGCACGTCCCTCCCAATCCAGTCCGTCCTCTCTATGGCATGGTGGTGTCCTCGGTGGAGGGTGATGAAGATGCTCTCAGAAGGAGGCTCCATGAACGTGCTATGGCCATGGACTGCCACTTGACTCAGGGCAGTCCTCAGCAGAAGATGTATCCCCTGCCTGTGTTGCCGGGAGTTCATAGCCAGGAACCATTACCTGCCATTACCACTCCTATTCAACATCAGGACGTTGTGCTTGTCGAGGGGGGGTTGCCCACCACCCCAACGCACATGTCCTCTGGTGGCGGCAATGGGAGATCTGGTCACGGATCTTTCAGTCCACTTGCAGCTGATGGGGGAGGATCGCCATCAGTCACAGTCAGTTCTCAGCCTTGATGCAGCATGACGGACTTGCTTACCTTGTCTACCGGCGACGGAACGGGACGTGAGTTGACACAGGGTTCACCTGCATTCGGTTCGATGGAGCAGACCGGGTCTGGCGTCTCTGGTGCTGGTCATGAGAGTACACGATCTCAGAATACCGGATCTGAAGGTCGTCCATCTGTTCTGGTTCAGCTAATCCGTGATGTGGACTTCGGGGATATCGAAGCTGTGGAGGGCGGATTGCCTGCAGAGCATGTCACCGCAGTAACTGCAGGTGGGACAGTGCAAGCTGGTGCCCGTTCACACGATCATGAACTCCAAGCACCGCCATGCAGTCCGACGACTGGGGGTGATGCCGCAGTTGCAGCTGAAGTCCAAGCACCTGAATGCAGTCCGCAGACCATGGGTGAAAGTGGGGGAACCTCCGCACTTGCTCCGTTGGCAAGAGGTGGCGGTGTTAGGAGTGGGCATGAACCGGGGAGAGCACAACCTGGCCGCGGACAACCTGCCCGCGGACGTGCAGGAAGGGCCAGGGGCGGACATCCTCGTCCACAATTTGGGGAGGAGGAGACGATGAAACTCATACGCTGCCGGTACGAAGTCAAGGCTACTCACGGCGATGATTCAGAAGCATGGGGGTTGGCAAAACTGAAGCAGCGGTTGTGGCCTGACGTAGAGAAGCTGATGAGGGAGGCCAATTACGACCGATCCGATGAGGAGTGTAAGAACCGGTGGCACTTTGTGCTTAACAACTTGTACAGGGCTGTGAAGGATCATGATAAGTGGTCCGTCAAGCAGAAGTACTTTACCATGAACCAGATGGAAAGGAAGAGATGGGGTTTGGATTTCCTAATGCGTAGAGAGTGGTACAATTTTATTGATCAGCACGAGAAGGACAAAGACACGATAAATATGGACGACATCACAGATCCCGGCGCTGAGACAGAGAATGTGGGGGTGGCCCGGTGGGCGATGGCGGAGCAGACAAAAGTGCCGGGGCAGGAGAAGGCGGTGACGATCGTGCGGGTTCAGGAACGTCGTCACAGCCGCAGGACAATGGGACGAACACTGCAGGTCCTTCAGATGGTGCAAGGTCCACTGCAGTCCAGGGTAACATGGCCGCGAAGCGTCGAAGGGGTGGTTCTAATGCAAGGGAAGTGGCCATGGGTGCTATTTGCAGAGCAATGCGCGACCACACCACTGCGCAGGTTAGGTAAGATAAGGAGCACCATGCGATCATGTGTGAAATCTGCGAAAAGCAGATTGCCGCACAAGAAAGAATCGCCAAAATGACGTGCGAGGCGATGGAGAAGGACACGGCAGCTAGGGATCGCGGAGCTGAGAGGATGGCTACTGAAACCCGTGCAGGGTACTCTTTGCTCGCTGATGCTATCAAGAGTCTGGCAAACCGCAACGCAACTCAATAGGGGGGGTTGCCAGCATCGAAAAGGAACCTTTTAAGATACTTCGTAGCAGCAAGTGCAACTATCGGTCGGTTCAGGTAGCTCACAGAAGTTCGGTTTTTTTGCCTTCGTCTTCGCCATCCTTTTTGTATGTCTCAAGGACGTCAGTTAGTGACATGTTTGGCCATCGGTTTAGTGTCACCATCGGTTGGTGACATGGCCATCGGTTTAGTGACATGCCCTGTGGGAGGTTAGTTAGTGACATGTTTGGCCATCGGTTTTTGGTGACATGGCCATCAGTTTAGTGACATGCCCTCTGGGACGTTAGTTAGTGACATGTTTGGCCATGCGTTGTTTTGAATCCAGAGGCATCCGTGGGACAATGGCCGTCAACATGCCGCGCTGCTGTAACAATCAGGACTCTGTAAATAGGCACATTTGGAAAAAAAAATAAAGACGGTAGTTTGTTTCAGGAACTTTTTGTTCTTTTCTGCGATTCTTTTTTTTTTTTTTTTTTTTTCCAGTTTTCTCTTTCGTCCTGTCACGAGGGCGCAAAGTTTTGACGAGTTTGTTGAACAGGGAATTGGTCATCTGGGCAAATGGAAGACAGACGAAAGGGCCGGAAGAAGCTATATCATCCCAAAACAGAAGGATTTGACACTCTTTCGGCCTATCTGTCCGACTTTCTGCGAGCCTGCCAATGCTTTGAGCAGGAGAATGTCGAAACCCTTTAATCTTCTGCTGGGAAAATTGCCTGACGCTGTGCATTTCAATTTACCAGCTGTATCCTGTTTGGCTGGCAGGCTAAGCAAAGCAAACTCGGACCTTCGACGTATGGGGAAGAATACGGGCGTTCTTTCGGCATCTTACGATGTTAAAGATATGTTCAGTAGGCTCCCACATCGTGATATTGTGGAGGCGGTTAGTTGGGTGGTGGGTCGGCATGCTGCGAAGGGTAGAAGAATTGTCCGTGTAAATCCGAGGGGAAAAGGTGCTGTGTTTGACGGGGCAGCTCGTGAGAAATGGTGGGCTGTCGGCCTGGATGAAACGCTGGAATTTGTGAGGTTCGATTTGAAGCATACCGTGACTCGAGCATCGGGTTTGTTGCTTCGACAGCTTGTAGGCGTGCCAATGGGAAAAAGCACTAGCCCGCCACTTGTGTGCATTATGTGTGCTTTCGCAGAGTGGCGGTTTCTGAGTGCGCTGGGCGGTGATCGTCGCCTGGTAACAGGGATTTGTCTTGTGGATGACGTCTCCCTGTTTGTAGCCTACAAGAAGGGCAACCGGGGGTCCTTGGCGAAAGCCAAGAGAATCAGGGGCAGATTCGAACGCTGTTACCTGAAGAAACTGACTTTAAAAAGGACCGATGACGGGGCTGGGGGTTGGGATTTCCTAGGTAACGGTTGTAGGTTGAGGGTGCGGCAACGATTTCCTTTTTTGGGTTGCTTGCAGAAGGTGAAGAATGAGTCTACGATCTGGTCAAGGAGGCCGATCGTAATCCGAAATGGACAGGACTTTCAGTCCTGGACGAGCCGCAGGCAGAAAGCAGCTGCGGTGGCTGGATTTTTTCACCGTTTGGACACAAACACGACTGAACGGAGCCTGATACCGGTACAGGTGCTGATCGCCCGACGAGAGTTTCGGGGCAAGGGTTTCCCAGATGCATTTTTCAAGAAGGTACTGGACGGGTTCGCGGGGAAAAAAGACGACATCTGGAAACTGACGGCCCAATTGCTTCGGTTGTCGTAGTTTTCCGGGTGCTAGGGCTGGTCTGTTTTCGGTCCATTTCTTGGGAAGGGTTGGAGAAATGTGTGATGAATGGTTGCGCTTTTTTGTTTTTGTTCATTTGTGCTTTGTCATTTTTCTGTTGACGACTCCTGGTCTGATAATATACCGGGTAGTCGGGTTGTAGGCGTAGTATATAGCTTCGTACTGTAGCTAGTATCCCTCCTCTTTGACAACTGAAGTGAGCGATTTCAGCCGGATGAACCAACTGTTGTCGCTCAGCGTTAGGTTGGTGGTCTGTTGGTTAGTACTCGGGAGAAGTCTGGCGGGTCGTAACTTGATGCGGTGTGCTGACACGATATATTTGCGACCACTGCGAACCGATGATAAGCTCAAGTTGTACTTCGTTGTTGAATTGTCATTGTTTGACTACGATCGATGCATGTCTTGTTTGTGCGAGGGCGTGCGATGTAATCGTGATGTTTTGAGTCAGTATTATATCTGTCACGAGGAACAGCCAAAACTCTCCTCATTTCGCACATTTGTCTTAACTATTGTGACTTATCGTTTTTGTCCCCTTATTACGGGGAAAATCAGACGAGTGTCATGATTGTTCTCTTTTTTCTTCAGGTTTTGTCTTTGTCTTTCTCATTTTGTGGGATGAGCATCTTCGCCTGTCACTCATCTCCCTGAACGATATGATGATGAGTACATTGATAAAGTGACAAAGTCATGGATGAAAGTTTCCTTTTCTTTTTATTTCCTTCCTACCTACCTTTTCCCTGCGCTCGTTGTCACCACAGTGGATGGAATAAGAGTACCATGCTTGGTGGTTCGATCACATCTTTGGTGGTTACATCACATGTTTCTTGATTTTGGTTGTTCTATGTACAATGCGTAGGTGAACCTGCCTTGCGCTATGTCAGAAAGGTGTGTGTGTGTGTGTGTGTGTGTGTGTGTGTGTGTGTGTGTGTGTGTGTGTGTGTGTGTGTGTGCCTGTTGTCTCTTTCTTTTCAGCCACGTCATGAGGCCGTCCACTGACAGGTCTTCAAGTACCTCACAGTTCTTTATGCATGTGTGCATGCAGGCACTAGGAATCTTGAAGTACCTCTCAGTTGGGTATATGATGACTGCGCAGATGTCATAGCACATGGATTGATTTTTTTTTATTTTTTATTTTTTGGTTTCATCTATCTGTGAATGTTCACAAAGTTGTGTTATATTGTCGTGACGCAAAATTATGGCAACGTGCTCGCACAGATTCCGACAAATCAGGGGCGCCAGCAGATGTTAAAAAAAAAAAAAAAAAAAAAGACAAATCCAAGGACATAGAGAGGGAGGAGAAGAGATCTCAGCATCTGTTCGCACCCTCGTCTATGTGTATCTGTGCCTCTTACAATGTGTTTGTGTCAGATGGGGGAAGAGACAGAAAGGGTGATTAAGAGGAATAGACAGAGAGATACTTTTCTTCCATGTATTGTTCCATTTTCATCCCAAAGGAGCTTTTTCTTTGCCTACGACAATTTTTTTTATTTTTTCAGTCGACGACGATCTCCACATCCACAATCATCTTTCTGGGGATGGGTATGACCTCATCGAATTAAATTGCCTAGCTCCAACGTAGTAATGGTAGGGGGCAGGATGGATCATTCCTGTTCGATCCCCTTTGGATTGCTCCCACGTGGCAATGGTTCGGGGCTGAATGGATCTGGCCTCGCCGGTCGTAATTATTGGCTTACTGCCACGTGGAAATGCTCTAGCGGAATATTCATTTTCCTGTGCCAGCTAAGCTACGCCCCGTCTGGGATCGAATTTCAACAGTTCGTGGGTGCACCAGCGAGGACACACCCCATCTGCTTTCAATCATCTCTCTCTCTCTCTCTCTCTCTCTCTCTCTCTCTCTCTCTCTCTCTCTCTCTCTCTCTCTCTCTCTCTCTGCAAAAAAGGCTGGAGAAAGAAGAAGCAGAGGATAACCTCACAACCTTTGATGATGATGATGATGATGATGATGATGATGATGATGATGCACATGCAACGATTATGATGACGATGATGATATGATGACGATGACGAAGATGGTGATAA